GAAGATGAAAAAACAAAAAACAAAGCAATGCAATCTCATTTTTTCACCACAAGCTAATATGGATAAAGAATAGGAGGAAGATAAATAGCGATCTCTCGGAAAGAATCATAAAGGTAGAAATAATATGCCAAAACCTCATTAGCCTATGTTATTATAAGTTATAGTAAGTTTCAAATCCCCCTTTAGATAATGACAGCGATACAGAGAAATAAAGAATCAATTTTAGCATAACCAACCATTACCATTATTCAAGCAAGCAACTTGGAGAGACCTAAAACAAGAAAACGTACGGAGTTGAGAGAATAGTTACAGAAAGAACGCAGGGAGCATTGCAAGGAATGTGAACTTGGCCCATCACAGCATCCAAATCAATCAAAACATACTCTTCTTCCTCTTGATGCTCTTCAGACAATGTTGTACTATCTCCTCCATTAGAAATAAATTCATTGAACAATACAGATTAGGAAGAACAAAAATAAAAATCCCACGTCTAAAATCTTGCTCAGAATCAAAATCCAGCTACTTTACACTTTACAGCATAATAATACACCCACTCGAAAAAGAAAAAAAGAAAGAACAACAGAAATTAAAATCCATTCATTCACCTGCTTAAGTAGGTAGCTGTTTATCAGAGAAACAAACAAAAAGACACAAGTGTTTTGATGCTCCTTGTCAAAGTGACAATACTTATCACCCCAGCTAATCTAAATGAACTCATCTCTTTTGTCTATAATTTGGTGGGTCACACAGTGATTAGAAATTCCTTGCTAAGTGAACTGGAAAACTTTTAATGAAACAAGGGTCAGCTAAGAATGTGGTGGCTAAATGTAATCACACTTAAGATGGCCTAAAAAGTAAGTTTAACTCATAAAGTTTAGTTACACAATGAAGTATCCAACGATCAGAAAGCAATGAAACATCATATGTCCACATAGAGATCGAGGTGCAGACATATGAAGCTTAGTTAAGTTACATTATGACCGCATGAAATGCCTTAACTTAGTACACCATCATAAGAGAGCACTGAATCAACCTTGACACACTCTCCTCAGGAAATGGCTAAAGCTCGAAATCATTCTCGGCACATTAAAGAATTTAGTGCACGAATAATTACATGGTGGTCAGAAACTGGTAAAAGAAGCTCAATCAATCAAGCCAAATTGAAGCATTATGACAGTTCCAACCTTCAATCTACCATCCAATACAAAATTCTACATGAAGAGGAAGATACACAGCACATGTAACAACACAGAAAGAGCAGAAGTTCAAGGATCTTAGTAACTCTGATTTGAAGGGTCGTTGCTTCACCATCATGAAGTTTAGGATCTCTGCAATCATATATGTTTTATTACTAAAGTGCATAAAACAGGGGACACCAAATGATTAACCAAAGGCTTACCTTAATGGCGGTGAATTAATGTTGTTCAATCAAAGAACAACACTACACATGCCAGTGAATTATTTAAAACTATTAATTAAGAATTTAATCCCATATATTGTCAACTACTTGGTTTTTCTAGTATCTTTAGCAATAAAAAAGCCGTGTAGAGCCTTGAATTAAACACCTAATATGCATATCCAATACATAAATAAAAGATACAATGCTGTAAAAGATCCAAATTTTAGGAATTCTTTGCCGTTCAAACTTTAGTAGTTAGCTCAAAAAATTTTGACCATATTCGAAGAATAAATTGTTTGAAAAATTAACACAAGCATTCCAAGGGACTGATTGCAGGAAGAGAAAAAACACAAGAGAAGACTTCCTAATGAACTAACAGAACACAATCAAATAATGAGTTTGATTCAACGAAGTCCCAGTCCCAGAAAAGAGAATTAAACCCAAAAATATATAGTCCAAACTATCGAAACTGCAAAACCAAGGTATAAATGGAACTGCTCCTGTATCTCACTATAGTTAAAATGCTTACGTCAAGTCACAGTTCAAATGTTTGGATATTAGAGAGAGCCAAAAAGTGAGATTAACTCAAACATACTCTCACTTAGAATAAAATCTCCTGCATCATGAAGGTGTACATTAATTCCTCAAATTAAGCAGCTGATAGGCTTTAAGGCCTTACAGTTGAGCACATTAATTTTTCCAGGCAACAATCACAAACAAAATCTGATCTTTGCCAAATATAAACATTTTGGCTAGAAACTTCCAAATAGAGATCCAAAATTTCCGTAAGATGCTAAATTCAACTATCGACAGACCTCCGGACACCAATTTAAAATCCAGAACAACAATTAGATTCATGCAAACAAAAGAGAACCTTTATAATAAGCAGGACAAAAAGAGCAAGAAAACAACAATGAGGGGGACCAAAAAATCACACTATCAAAATGATACTATAAGCCTATTACAAGAATCAAAAGGGTCAGAAAATCCAAAACAAAGTAAAACAGAAAATTGGAAAATCAATGGTAATTCTTACGGAAACGACGAGGAGGGCTCGAAGGGGGCTGCCACGGCGAGTTCAAAGGAGCACGTTGTGAACAATGTTTTACTCCCTCCCGTCGTTAATATAGGGCAATTGATTTTGTCCTAAGTTTCATGTAGTACGTATTTTTATTTGATGAAACAATTTTAAAAATATATTTTTACATTCGTTATATCTTCTCGATTGTTATGAAATATTTTTAAGATTTTTTTGTCAAATAAAAATACGCACTAGGTGAAACTTAGAACAAATTAAAATGCCTTATATTAAGGACTGGAGGGAGTATTTTCTTGGGAGAGAAAGAGTAATGTTTTACTTAATTTCGATAATAATGAATTAATATTCTTAATTTCGATAATGATGAACTAGGGGTGTTCACGGTTTGGCTCAAACCGGTGGAACCGCCCAACCCGGTCATCGGTTCGGATTAACGGGCGGATTATAATTATATTTTTAAATCGGCGGATTGAAAAATTAAAAACCGGTCAATCAGGTCTGGATTACAATTTGGCACTGTCAAACCGTCTGTCAATCCGGACCGGACCGTATATATATATTATAAAATAATAATATATTGATTTTGTATATATAACGTCGGATAGAGACTTTTATCGAAAGTGTTAAGTTGTCCTATTGACATTGTTGTTGTTCCCTCTATACCTTGCTGAAGGTTGAGTGTTCGAATCCCCCATGGACTAATTTTTTTTTTTTTTTCAAGAAAAGCCTAAAAAAAAAAAGGCTGAAAAAGGCCCAAAAAATTTCAGGAAAAGCCCCCAAAAAAGGTCTAATAACAAAAAAATGTTCAATTTTTTGCCCAAAATGAAAAAGTCCAATCAGAAATCCAAACCGCCAATCCGCCCAAACCAAACCATTAAAAACGGATTAGATTGGTCCGGATTATACACCAATCCGGTCCGGTTACGGATTAAAAGTTTTTCAAATCATAATGAACGGTTTGGTTACGGATTGCTATCAATCCGGACCGTGAACACCCCTATGATGAACTATATATTAATATGAGATGAGAAAATTATAATGCTTTATCGTCACATGAAAATAGTCCAAGCTATAAATTTTATACTGTCATATTTTTAGTGTAATTTATAAGTTGTAATTTAGACTTTTTACTTTCTTTTTATTTATAGTTTAAGTTGTAATTTAGACTTTTTGTTTCGTTTTTTTAGTGTGTGTTTTTAGTATTAGAAATATAAAAAAGTGTATTAAAAATGTAAAAAGATATACTAAGACGAGACATTTATTATTAAAATAATCTGAAAAAAACTATCCAAAAAACCAAACAAAGAGAGTAATTTTATAAAAACATCAAAAAGTTACATCTTTGCTGTCTTCCGTATGAGAGGGAATTCCTATTTTGGGCTTACAGGAAGCCACTGGGCTTAAATTGAAGAATTCTTCTGAAGACCCATATTCGCATTTCATTCAGTCCATTTTTCCTAATCTTGACTCTTAACATTGATAATGAATGATACCTTTCTGTTTCGGTGATTCTCAGCGGAAATAATCTGAACATTTTGACTTTTAAGGAAATATTTCTCGTTGTTTTTTTTTTTAAAAAAATTCCTATTAAATAAGAGGGGAATTTGAAGTTGATGATCCATAAAAAAAAAAAATTGATGATCCGTAAAAAAAAAAAAAGAAGAAGAAAGTGTTATAGTCCGTTACATGATCACACTTGCTCAATCAAAAACGTTTTGAATCTTTCATTCTGAAATGATTTTCCTAAAATTTTGTTATTTTTTGGACATACGAGTAATATTTAACATTGTATTTTTGGGTGATGTAAAGCTTCGTTCGTCAAAAAGTTGTTCTAGTTCATGTCAAGTTGTTACTTTTCTTGGTCTTTATCATAGACATTTTAATTTATCCTAAATTTTACTTAGTACAATATATTTTTTTAGTTGAAAATACAATTTTGAAGATATCGTTACTATAAATTATTTGTAACGTTTTATTTTCAATTAAAAAACATATTACGCGAAATATATGATAAATTAAAATGTCTTATAATAAGAAAATCTGAGATAGTACTATTTTGAATGTTTAACTACTCCTGCAAAACATTGAAGAATTATTATGATTTTGCATTGGAAAATAAGAAAGAGAAAAGGTAAAATGGCTATAAAGGTGGAAATCACGTAGTTAGAAGAAGAACAAGAAGAACAATAACGAGATTGATTATGATCAATAAGAACAATAAATGGGGTATCCATTAAATTAATAACCAATCTGGAATATTACAACACAGACTCTGAACAACAAATACAATGAAAAGATGTCAGGAGAAAAAGAAAAAAAAAACGGAAATGGAGGAAATAAATGGGAAATATGAAGCACTGCCTCTGTCCTGGCGAAAAGAGTAAAAAACTGAAACTTTATACTAAGCCAAGAATTAAACTTTTAAGAAAGAACAAACTTAGATAAAACAGCTCCAAAAGTGAATAAAGCCGTGAATGGAGTCAAGCTCCGGCGGAAGAGGGAGTAGTACTGGTGGTCGTCCTCGGAATTAGTGTTGCCGGAGGGGAATCAGCGGCGGGGGTTTCAGGTGTACCGGAGCCTGGAGCTGCTGCCTCCGTTTCCGGCCAGTGCAGGAGCGGCGGTGGATCCTCCGGGTGCTGCTGCTCCTCCGGCGGGTGCCACGGTGACGGATAACCTCATCCCTAGACTGCAGTGTCCGGGTATTCCGCAGATGAAGTAATGTGTTCCGGCGGTTTTGAGAGTGATTGTGGTGGGGCCGTTGTTGTCAGTTGAGATGGGATTCGCCGGATCGCATGAGTTGTAGTCACTTGAGCTTACTTCATCCACTGTATGGCTTCCACCAACATAATTGAACGCTGCGAAAAAAATTCAAAAGGATCATCAAACTTCATTCCTCTGTTTTTTTGAACAGCCATTTCCATTCCCCTGTTTTTCACCACCAAAATTACAGAGGGTTAATGTACAATTTAATAAAGAGATTAAAGAATTTTACAAAGTTTGTCTCCAACTTTGAAGCTCTTCCCTGATGCCCAGTCGGCATAATTTATTCCCGAAGCCCAACCATTAGAATCTCCAACTACGTACATAACTGCAAGACTTGGAACAGCAGCAAGAGCAATCAAAGCAAAGCAAAAGAGGAACTTGGCATTGAAGTTTGCCATTGGGATATGAAAAGGGGAAAGGAGGAATTTTGATCAAGAAGGATGATGATAAAATGAACAATGGTGTGTATTTAAGAAAAGGGGTTCTTGATCTATTTGAAGAATGATGAAAAGATTGGGATGATGAGGGTTTGTTTATATAATAATGATGGAAAAGGAAATGGAGTCGTTCGGCTTAATCTTTTATTATTATGTGCCGAGCGTGGATCTTTTTTCTCCATACTACTCAGAGCTGACCTTCATTCAATTGGACATTTTACCTACTTCTCCTAGAGTTTTTCCTACCTTCTAGTTCTAGTTCACATAATTCATGGTTTTGACGTATCAAAAATGCGACCAATAGTAATCAAAGGCGTTCCAGTACTTAAAAAAATGTTAATATTTAAGTCCCATGTGATAAGCTGCTTTGAATGCTATTGCTAATGGGCTTGAATCAAATGCCGCTGTAAAATTGTACAACCGTTAAAGTTATTGCTTTTATGACTGATTAATCATGAATTCGTAACAAGAAACAGATAAAGATTGCATACAAACGTAAACTAAAAATGAAAACCTGAATAATAATTATGAGAAAGAAGGAATAAGAAAAAACATGGAAAAATTGTCAAACCTTAAAAAATTACCAATGGCTCTTACTTTCCGTTTTGCTGATTATAGTGTTAGAAACTTTAGAATGTTCAAAGGAACAATACGAATAAAGAAATCCTAAAATTGGTGAGTATAAATTTAATATAAAATAAAATATCAGAAAGGAAGAACGATTCCCCTGCTTTCATCATTGGAATGAGAAATAAGGAAGAAAGTAACAGATAAATTATTTTTATTATCTTATGATACTTACATCATCCTTTTTTTTTATTACTTTTATATTTTTTGGAAGGGATATGTCATCGAAATATTTATGATACAATTGATAAATAGATATGATACTCTTATGTTCAATTTTTCATATTGAATTTCTAATTTAAAAGATTAATCCTTCTAATTTATAGATTTTAGTTTTTCTAATTAGACTACTGTCGGGACATAAGAAATATTATTTTACTTAATTTCGATAATGATGAATTAATAACATAAGATGACAGAATTATAATACTTCTTCTTCTTCTCATTAAAATAATCCAAATTATAACTTTTATTTTGTAATATTTTTAGTATAATTTATAACTTGTAATGTAGAATTTTTCCTTTTTTTTTTTTTTGATAAAAGGAGTAATAGTAATGATTTTTATAAAAACATCAAAAACTTACTCTGGAATACGTGCCTTATATCTTTGCTATCTTCCCTATAAGAGCGAATTCCCCATTTTGGGCTTAGAGGAAGCCACTGGGCCAAATTCGCATTTGATTCAGCCCATTTTTCCTAATTCTTACTTTTTGACATTGATAGTGATGCCCTTTCTGTTTCGGTGATTCTCATTGGAATTCATCTGAACATTTTTTACTTTTAAGGAAAATGTTTCTCCTTCCTAGTTTTTTCCTTTTCTTTTTTTCCCCCTATTAGAAAAGGGAGGGAATTTGAAGTTGATAATCCACTAGATGCAAAGAACTTTTTTTTTTATATATATACTATTATATGGTATCCTAAACTATTATATTTATAGAGTCTACTGGGAGAAAGAGATACTATTATTAGGGGAAAAAAGATGCAAAGAACTATATCCCCTTAAGTACCTTTCCTCCCCCTCCCAAAAGAATGTTATAGCCCATTACATCAAAACCCTTATTGAAAAACGTTTTGATTCTTCCATTCCGAAATGATTTTTCTAGAATTTGTTTATTATTAGACATAGAAGAATTCAACATTAGTTTTTTGGGTAATGTAAAGCGTTGTTCATCAAAAAGTTCATCTAGTTCATGTCAAGTTGTTACTCTCCTCGGTGCTTATTATAGACGTTTTAATTTGTCCTAAATTTTACTTAATATAATATGTTCTTTTAGTTGAAAATAAAATTTTGAAGATATCATTACTATAAATTATCTTTAAAGTTTTATTTTCAATTAAAAAATATATTAAGCTAAATATATAACAAATCAAAATGTCTTACATGAAGAAATCGGAGGGAGTACTATTTTGAATGTTTAACTACTTCTGGAAAACATTGAAGAAATATTATGATTTTCATTGAAAATAAGAAAGAGAAAAGGTAAAATGGCTATAAAAGTGGAGATCACGTAGTTAGAAGAAGAACAAGAAGAACAATAACGAGATTGATTATGATCAATAAGAACAATAAATGGGGTATCCATTAAATTAATAACCAATCTGGAATATTACAACACAGACTCTGAACAACAAATACAATGAAAAGATGTCAGGAGAAAAAGAAAAAAAAAAAACCGGAAATGGAGGAAATAAATGAGAAATATGAAGCACTGCCTCTGTCCTGGCGAAAAGAGTAAAAAACTGAAACTTTATACGAAGCCAAGAATTAAACTTCAAGAAAGAACCAACTTAGACAGAACAGCTCCAAGAGTGAATAACAAAGCCGTGAATGGAGTCAAGCTCCGGTGGAAGAGGGAGTAGTACTGGTGGTCGTCCTCGGAGTTGGTGTTGCCCCGGGTTTCCCTCCCCCTAGTTATAATTTATACAGAAGAAAAGCATATTCTCATCCGAAGCTCTATTTTTCTGAAACAGGTCATCAAAACCGATCTAATGCAGTATCAAGAAGCAACCAATGCTCCAACAGTTTGAGCAAGCTACCAATATATTTCACTCCACTTGCTCATTTGCGTTGTTTTTTTTGCTTGCTTGCCTGTAGAAGCTGCGCCTTCTGCTTCTTCCATCAACCTGAACCTCAGAATCTTATGCAGGCTAGTTATCTGCTTAACAGGGGCCTGCTTACTGTCTACTATACATGCTCCAGAGAAAATATTGGCTTCAGATGGGCCTGTTTCTTCATGTACTACAGGGGCAGCATCTGCCAAAAAATAAATAAATAAAAGGAATTCGTACCCTACTACTCTACAATGCATAGTCATTTTTGGTTAACACAAGCAGCATCTTAGACAGTGCAGACATTTTCTTTTTGTTCCCCCGCTTTATCCAATTACTTATCCAGATATTGCAAAGGAAAAGACACTGGTTACAAAGAAAATACCGAACCAAATTTAAGAAGTAGCCCAATTTGGTGGTATGAGAGCAAGGAACCTGAAGGTTTTTCAGAAGACTGAAAATATTTCTTTATCTTAAACCACTCGGAAGTTTTATCTTCTTATCAAAATGAAGGCATTTTCTTTAGCCAAAGAAGGTTATACTTTGAAATGCTAACTAATTTCTTAAAGAAAATCCCATCAACAGAAGACAAAATCGATGAAGATATCCAGGAGACAGTTCTCTATGGTTGGAGACTGAAGCAAACCAGGGTACACCAGCAACTAACATGCTTACAGCACGGTTGCAACTGATCAAAGAAAATTTATGGCAAAGTCCTGAGATACAGGAACCATACTTCTAATTCAAGTCTACAATAGTGATGAACTTAATTCAGAACATGACGTACCCTTCTAAAAGTACATAACAATCATCAAATCAAGGATGAATATAGATTACCACTTTCACTAAAGACAAGGCAAGTGCCCACAGTTTCATCATACTCACCAACCTGCATCATTCAGTCAATAAGATCAGTAAAACAAAGGATCCATTAACCACCAAGAGTTAACACTGACTGAAACATGAGTCTAAATACAAGCTCTACAGCACCAGAATGGATATGCAGAAACATCCGCATGCCAACTCCAAGTGTATCTAAATATCAACATATCAAGACTATATATACACAAACATGAAGATGCCCTCCAAAGCATCATGTCTAAGCTCATTAGTTAGGACAGACATAAGATTGATAATTGCCTTGATGCACGAATTTTTAACAGATTTTCATGAAGACTCTGAAAACTCCACAAGAAACAATAAAAAATAGATCTCATCCCGGTTTACGACATTTAAGTCACGAAATGTCTCAACAATCTAGGTCTTTCTCCATTTATTTTGAAGTTTTATTCCAGAAATGAATTTTTCTCCCTATTCTTGCATTGATATGTGATGGATTAAACAATTTTGTGCAGTTGCTTGATTACAAAAGAATGCACCTACATTATGGCTATCCAAATGCACTATATTTGGGTTCTTTGTTATTATTGTTATCATGATAAAATATATGTGTTTTTTTTTTTTTTTTTTTTTGGGTTTTGGTTGGCATAGTATGTTTCCATCATGAATCATTGAATTGTTTGAATTAACTTGTTTATGTTTTTGTTTATGTGATATTATAACCTCCTTCATTTTTTTATTTTTTATTTTTGCCATTATGTATAGCTCGAAAACAACAACTCATGTCCACATCTGACAAGTATGATCAACTTATTAACTGTTCGGGCATGGCCTGGGGCCGAGGTGAGACCAAAAGATAATTCTATACGATGAGACTTGTCATTGTTTAAACTTGTAAAACTATATGATGAGAATTGTCATTATATAAACTTATAAAATTACGCGTCACATTACTCTAAAACACAGGGGCTGCCCGGGCTTCAGCACGGAGCAAACATCTAATATATAATATAGTAGTAAAAATGCTACATAATCTGGGTAATTGTAAAGTTCATAACTAACTTAAACCGTGCCATATATATAGCAAAAACCTAGTTTAAATGTAAGAGCTTCACGTAGGCAAGACGATTTTGTCATCACTCAATATTCCTCACAAGTGAGTGACCAGCGGCGGAACTACGTTGGGGCTCGGGGGGTTTCGAGCCCCTCCGACGGCCGGGAAATCCAGGGGGATACCACCGGAAATTATCCTCGGTGGCTTCCTCTTTTACTCAAAGCCCTCCCCCCTCCCTCCAGTTTTGGTGTGAGAGAAGGCTTTAGGATGGAGACATCTAGGCAGCAAGGGCTAGGATTATTTTTAATTAAGATTTGTCGGCGACGGCGAGTTGCAGAAACACATCGGAGAAGAAGAACTCTTTATCAAAAACTTTAAAACTTATATATT